AGAAAATTGTATATATACATATATTTCGTTCCCCTCTCTCCCCTCTCCCAGATCTCGCTCACTCACTCGCCTCTCTCACTTTATACAATTGATCTTTTTGTATATGTATACCAAAGCAAATTATACAACTGTTTTTTTTTTGTATATGTATAGCGAATTATACATATATATGTTTGCTATGGAGCGCAATTATGCAAACTTTGCTGTAGCATACAAATATGAATTTTGTGTTTGCTATATTTGAAAGTTGCTCTTTAAAAAATTATATATTTATCCCTTCTCTTTAATGTATTTTAATTTTTTTTTCCCCTAAATTTTCAGTTGAAGGAAGTAAACAAATTCATTAGTTTAAGATATACCATGTTGAGAATTCTAATTAGTACGATGGCATTTAATTTGGACTAATAAGTAGTTTTTGTTGTAAAACTAAAGCAAAATAAGACAAAAAATATAGAAGATGAAAGCAATAAAAATATTGTTATATAATATTTTATAACAATTTTTTTGTCAATTTCTTTTTTTGCTTTATTCTTGTTTTCTTGTTCCGTTTATTGTAATGGGTTTTACTTTAATTTGAGGTATCACGCTTCAGTTTTCAATATAAAAAAATGTCTTCAGAAAGCATTTTTTTCAATAATTCAAGTTTTTCCAAAAACACTTTTGAAATTATAATCAAGCATAAACTATTACCCTAGATCAACAAGTCTTTTTAAATTAATTAGTCTAATACAAATTACTATCATATATATGTATAAAAAAAACTTTAACAAACACTTTCAACAAAAATACTTTTTAAAATAAATAATTTTTCAAACTTAATCAAATAGACTATAAATAATTAGGCTATTGAAAATAAAGTAGATACCAAATTTGGACATATTAAAAAATTAATTTAACAAAAAAAAAAAAAATTGTACCCAAAAGTGCTTGTTCTTTGTTTGAATTGAATTTAAATTCTATGTATTTATAGGATCAAATTATTTATATTCGAGATAAATTGATTATTATGATAGCATAATATATATATAAACTCTATTTTAATAACAGGTCCGGGAAATAGTAAAATGCCATCACTACCTCACCGACCTAAACCAGATGGATCAGCAACTACCCAACCACCGCCTGGTAAACTTTTGCTTGAACCTTTTTTCAATTTACGTGTCACAATTCAAAATTTGAGAATCAAATATTTTAATTTTCATTTTTAAAACTTCGCATCCCCTAATGTGAACTACTATTAATATGCGCGGCAAATTAGTTCATGCATATGTAGTAGTCTGAGTCGATTTTAATTTTTTATCATTTTAATAAGTTGAATTTTAATTTTTGCATTTATAACATAATAAAAGTTATTTAAGAGCGCAAAACATAACTTATAAACTATTACTATGTAAAAATATAAATTTATATCTTACGATTTTTTTTTTACCTCGAGGGACAATCGATAAAGATCGGCACAAAATACAGGGACCCTTTTTAATTTGCGTAAAGATATTGATTAGACACAATGTTTAAAGAACTTTTTTTTTGATGATTTCTAATACTTTGTGGTCGTGAGTACGAATTATATGATGAGATATTTGTGAATTATGATTATAAAACTTGTTATAAAATGTCTAATGAGAAACTTATAATTCATTTTTAGAATAGAAAAGTGTTATTCTGTTTGATTTCAAAAAATAATAATCAATGTTTTTTTTTTTTTAATCAAAATAGCAGCACCACAACATTTAACCTATCGTGCAATACAAAAAACAGTGACTGTATGCAACGAGAAGGTGTATGGCAATTGTATAAGAGCTCCTCCAACAGTCACACGCTGCAATTATTATGGAAGATGTAAACGCACCGTAGTACCCTAACTTGAAGTTATAACAGCAAAGCAAGTCGCAGTTAGAATTTGAAATTTATGAATTCTGAATGTATTACTGAATTTTATAACACATTTAATTAGTTACTGGATTGACGGTTAATTGTAAACAATAAACTTCATTTTTCAGTGAAAGTTCATGTAATAATATTGAATGGTGTATATTTATATCAAAGCCATTTAAAATCTTCTTCTTCCATCCCCTTTTTGCTATCCCTTTTTTTTTTTCAGTACTTAAAGTTACCAAATTATGAGGAATAAAGAATGTAAATTTCCTAAATGGTTAAATACATGCAATAATTGTATCTTAAATTTGTTAGTAAATTTTATTTAGACGATATCCTAACTACGATTTATTCTGATTGAGTCAATAGATTTTGAAGAGGCAAGAAAATACTTTGATAAATATCGTGCTCAAGGCATGCACACATGGCATCGAACATCTTTTTCTTTATTTTTGTTGTATCTATTCGAACTTGTGATGCTCCGTTAATTAAGACTCGTAAGATGATCCAAAAGTTTCTTTTTTAAGGGAATTTTACACAAATCCCGTAGTGTTAACAACTAATTATATCATATCTCTACTCTTTTCCAAATTACAAAAATCCCTTAAATTTGCTGGAATTCGAATACATTCCAAAATGTCCCGATACATCACGTCCCAATTTTGGATACCTCGCTCAACCTCCCGATATATCACGTCTCAGTTTCGTGTACATCATTCAACAACCCAATACATCGCGTAAAGTGATGTATCCAAAAATAGGAGAGAATAGGAATTTTTGTGATTTTTTAAATGGTAGGAAATTTTAAAGAATATGGTAAAATAAGTTGTGTATTGAGGTAATTTGTACTTTCTTGTATACGAATTATGTAGAGGTTAAAATTTAAATAATGACACCAAAATAGTCTATTTGTGCAAACTCCCATCCACACAAGTTTGAATTGGCTGGTCTGTCTAAAAAAGCCCAAGAGCTTCTTACTATTGGGCCTACTTTACTAGTAGCGGGACCCAATTACAAAATTTTCAAATATAACTCCACACGCAATCTCCGCCTTCCCGTTGAATTTATTCCGGTGCCGGAGAAATGGAAAACGGCGCTCAGCAAACACCGTCCACCACTATGCCACCATCACCTCCGATGCCAAAAGTCGGCGTAGCGGTGTTTCTTTTAAAAGGAAGTAAAGTTCTGTTGGGGAAACGCCTCTCCGCCGTCGGCCATAGCACCTTTGCACTTCCCGGCGGCCACCTGGAGTTCGGTGAGTACCTTAAAATATATTCCCGTTGTTTATCGAAGCTTAAATTCATATATTAGTTATGATTTCTTTGCTAGATGATCTAAAATTTATAGTGATTTTTTGCTAGATTATTAAACTGAAAAGAAGAAAAATTGGAGTATGAAAAAACTTATTTTTTTGCAAAAACTTAAACAATCACCTTTATTTGGAAAAATATCTTGCAAGATTGCAATATAACTTTCGTGGTTAATTAGTATGATTTATAGTACTTTTGACGTTGTTTCCAAATATATACTTGATTTTATTTCAAAAAACTTAAAACTTCTATGTTTTAGCTGCCCATTTCACCTAGAAAGTATGCATAAGTTGAATGTCCTCTAGTTGTTGCTTGTTTTTCTGATTTTGACTTGATACGAAGTTTAAGATAGTAAGGAAGACTTTTGAATCTTGTGGTGTTTAATTAAAGAAATGTAGAATGTACCAAAACGTCATTTAAACGTGTTGTCTTAAACATGCTACGTAGAAAGTTAGAACTAAAGAGTTGTCTGTAAAGGAAAGAGACATCCTTTTTTAAACTAACTAAAAGGAAAGTCAGGCAAACAAATTGAAACGGAAGGATTACTTGGTTCTGTTTAATTCAAGACATATTTGAAAACATAATATGTATATATTCATATTTGAGTTCAGCAATATGATCAAATAAGTAATCATGTTCATAGCCTAGCCTAACTGATGCTGCTGCAACTTTGATTTGATAGAAGCCTCATGGTTCTGATGCAATAGTTGTCCAATGTTGTTAAAGGCGCGCTTAAAGTGTGTTTAAGCTCTGAAGCGAGGCTCAAAACATGTTGAACGCGTCTATTCACATTGATCATGAATTTGTTACAGGGGAAAGTTTTGAAGAGTGTGCAACGAGGGAGGTGAAGGAGGAAACAGGATTGATTATTGATAAAACCGAGTATCTAACGGTGACTAACAATGTGATCTCAGAGAAAGTTCACACCGTTTGCGTATTCATCAGAGCAGTCCCTGCTGATGTTAACCAGAAGCCTGAAACACTTGAACCTGATAAATGTGCTGGTTGGGATTGGTATGAATGGAACAATCTCCCTAAACCACTCTTTGGTCCTTTAGAAGATATGGTCCAAAGTGGATTCAATCCTTTTCCAACTACTTTATAGTTAACTGTTTTGCTAAGTATTTAGGATTCGATGTTGCTAGGTTTGATCACGAGTTCGAGCTATGGAATCAATCCTTGATGTTTGTGTTAGGGTAGTTGTCTACATTACACACCCCCCCCCCCCTAGTGGTACATCCCTATATTATCCTATTAAATTAGTTAATCAAGATAAGTGATATGATTTTGATGTAATATACAACAATATTTGAACGTTTGGTAATTACTGGAATTGGTATTAAATATACTTTGAATGTTGACAGTATGATTATTTAATCTTTGCACATTTAGTTGTAATTTTTACAAAAAAAAATATTAAATAGTTTTTGAGGTAGACATGTGGGATTATGACTTTGTAATAGAATTATAGAACATATCTTGATTCAACTAAACTTTTAATATGATCACTTTATTGTTTTTTTAATACATTCAAACTTGATTTAGTTTTCTCATATTTAACAATCCTTCTTTAAAAGTAAGCCAGCAACAAAATATGTAAAGGTGATGATCGGGAGTTAATAGATATTAGATTTTTGCTAAGTTTATAAATTGATTAAATTAATGTACTTTTTAGCTAAGTTCAAACATTCAAAGTACATGTATACTAAAATCAGTCAAAAGTTATAAGTTGGTTATTCTTAACTTCTGACTTTTCAGCTTATAAACACTTTTAGTTTGACCAAAAATTTTACTGTGTATATCTAAAAAAGGATCATACATTACGTTTGGCACCTTCAAACATTAAAGCCAATTTGGTGCATTGGGCTGGCAAGCGTCTTTTTAAAAAAATTAGACAAACATAATTTGCTTATCAAAAATACTTTTCAAATGAATTAGTCAAACATAAAATATTTTTAACTAACATGCCCCCCCCCCCCCCCCTAGTGGTACAGTCCTTCCACGTGTCCTACATAATAGCGGAATGTTTTGAGCACCAGACTGTCCCAACATTGGTGTTTTAGTTTTGTAATGGCAAGTGATTCTTGAATATGCTATGTTATTTGTAGTAATATTTATATAATTATCTGTTTAATATGAAATGTTGATGAATTCTGATGTCATGCCCCTCTGCAACATCCTTTGGTGTGTAAATTTCTGATAAGTCTTGAGTCGATTAAAACTCCAAGATCGCGAGGTTCAAAGGCCTTGAGGTTGCTTAGAAAAGTCGGGCTAAAGTAGACAATACCTTGCAATTGGGCTTGGGCCGTGAAAAAATGGTATCAGAATAGGAGGAGAAGGTTGGGGGTCGTGTAAGGACGAATTCAAGATTCAACGAGACACTTATTGTGTAGCGAGGCCAAATCTCAACGAAGACGTTAAGTCCCTAAGAATGTAAGGGAGATTCACTGTGAAACTTGTTTTAGATTAAAATTGTTTTATATTGGGAGAACTTTGCAAAATTTAGAATGTATTGCTATATATTTTCTTTCTGTATTTACCTAATTTTCTGTTTGGGCTAGTCCAATTATTTTCTAAAAAGGGGCTATTATTTCTAACAAACAATTGATCCAAGTCATTATAAAGTAGGACAAGACTTCCCAATTCTATTTATTTGATCTTGACTAAACTAAGAAAAGTTATTGAAACTCACAACTTTTAAAATACTTGTCAAAATCAGGAAGAAAAAAATTCATAAATAACTTTAGTTTAGAGCGTAATTATAAAATTTAGCTATAGTTATTATATCAAGCGGAAGAGTTATATCAAATAGATATTAATTGTATCAGCGAACGAGTTGTATTCAGGCGATAGGTACCAGTTGTATCAGGAAGAACAACACATTGTATATGTACAAGTGTGTATTGCATTTTTATTACAAAACCCAAAATAAAACTATGTATCCAATTTTTTGAAATTGTAATTGTATATCATAAAATACAATCTAAATATTTGCAATATCATGTAATTTTTCCAATTAGGATCAATATTAGTTTGTACATCATCAAGGGGATGATAGGTTAATAATATTTAAAAAGTAGTTATATCTTAAGCACGCCATCTTTAAAAAATTAATTCTTAATCCTTCATATAAAGCAATATCATGCTTACTCATCACCTAACTATTATCAATTATAAGATGTTTTCCAGATTGTTAATTGGATTTTAAGCTCTTTGGTTTTAGATCTTGATTTTGACATGTCTAGCTTATTCAACATAATATATACTTTTGTCCTTAATTAATCTCCTAGTTGTTGATTGTAGATGAAAATTAGTTGGTCCGTGACATTTAGGTCCATAATCACATCCCTCTCCCCCCCCCCCCCCCCCCCACAAAATTTTTTATCCCCCCCTAATACTAAAATATTTATTGAATAAATCACAAGTAATTTCTTTTTATATGTCCAAGTTTTGACGGATAGAGTTATACAATACAAGAAGCGGAGGTAGAAGCTGACATACGGGTTTGATCGAGCTATATTTCAACCCCTATATTTGTACATATAAATTCACTAAATATGTACAGTAATTAAATGCAGAATCAAGTCACTAACATCTGATATAACTATTTTTCGAATTTAGAATTCATAAACACTACGCAAAATTAAAATTAGCTATGAATTTCATCTCTCGTGTGTTGCTGATATTGCTCGTAGCTAACATACTTTTTTGACAATTTATTGCTAAATAGAATTAAAAGTGGTTGAAAGTTCTTTATTCAATGAACTCACAGATCCATTAAGATCAATGGAAGGCTCTGATACCACTGTTATGGAACGGAAGAAACTAGAAAGAAAAAATAAAGAGAGAATGAATGATAACTTTTTGTATTGATTCGAATAGAAGAGTACTTCACTATTTATAAATAATTAAGGAGAATAAAATATATTATTTTCCTTCTATACACTAAACTAAAAGGAAACTAAATATTTTGCAATTAATGTAAACCGTAGACTTGAAAGGAAATTAAATACTATAGAATATTTTTAGACTAAAAGGAAAAAGTAAAAAGATTCTACCAAATTTAAACAAATATCGTACCTCATCTACTTTATAATTAGTTTTAATATACATATTTAATTTAACTATATAAATATAATAACGACAGAGAGTAGGAATTTCAGTTGTATCAAATATGAAGAAAAAAAAGGAATTAAAATGCAAAAAAATTCCCTTTGTTTCAAATTATGTGAATTTAGATATGAAATTTTTAAAAAATTTAAATAAATTTTATATTTTTGAAAATTATGTAAAAAATATTATAAATTAAAATAATTGATAATTCAAAATACTTTTAAAAATATAAAAAAATGATAAAAAAAAAAAACTTATTTACATTTTGAAATCTGAAACATGTCACATATTCGAAGAAGTATAAGACATGCCCATGTGAGCTATTACTCTATAGAATTAGTATAGCTCGTAGACGAGCACATTAATGAAGTCTTGAAAAAATAGACGAAGCGATAAACATCAAATTTTTGCTATTTTAAAGTCTCCGATAGAAAAAATGATCGATTATTTTCCGTGGGTGGATCCAATTGTAATTTAATTGGAGCTAAACTACACAACTTGAGAAGACGCTATCAGTTGACTTGGTCAACTGCAATGAAGACTCCATAGTACTACTTGTTTTTATTTGTCCATATTAATTTAACCTTTTTTTGACAAATAATAAATAAAATAATAATCCAAAAAAATAATTTGCTCTGCTTTTGAAAAATATTTTTTTGCTGCTGTTTAAAAATTATTTTTTGCTAAAAAACTCAACTCTCTAAACTAAGTAAAAAAGGAATTTGAAAGTAAAAAACATTGTTAATTTCTACAAATTATAAAATCACTTTACATTATTCTACTTGTTCTTGCAAAAAAGGCTATTGAGTAATGACTCGTTCAACATACCAGTATGAGAAGACTTAAGAGTAGACCAACTAAGTGTCATGAATCAAAAAAGACTGCGGTGTAGCGGATGAAATTGTTTCTTTCTTAATTAACGATTTTGATTTTGAAATTTGGTATAATTATTTTTTTATAGAAAGCGGTTTTTTTTTTTTGAATGAGCTGACCTACACAATACAAATTTAAATTAGTCGAACTTTAATACAGATACTAAACCGTGAATGAAGAAACAAAAACTAAAGTGTCATAAATGTTTAGTCCAAGGAAGACTTCAAAAGTCAAGAACCATAAATGGGTTATAAACGAAGTGAGAATTTTCTAATATCTTAAAGGATTTAGTCCACACGTTTGAATTATTTAATTTTCTCTTGAGGAAATTTTTTATATAAGATTATTATTGATTAAACAAAAAAACACATCATATTATTTCTCTCTTCCTCCATAGCTTTTTGAAACCATGAATTACAAAGCATTCACTTTGATATTGTTTGTATTAATTTTTTTGTCTATCGTCAACGATGGCCTCTCGAAGAATATTATCAGGTTTTATCTCTTTGCTTTTCTGATTGATATATTAAATATAATAATTAGAAAAAAAATATTTATTGTTTATAGAATAATAATTCTTGTTTATTGATAAAAGCATAAAGATCATTTCTATTATAAGGTGGAAAGTTTGATTTTTCCAATCAACCTATTCGCATAAATAAAACTCTTTTAAAAAATTATATATTTATCCCTTCACTTTAATATATTTTAATTTCCCCCCCCTAAATTTTCAGTTGAAGGAAGTAAACAAATTCATTAGTTTAAGATATACCATGTTGAGAATTCTAATTAGTACGATGGCATTTAATTTGGACTAATAAACAGTTTTTTGTTGTTAAACTAAAGCAAAATAAGACAAAAAAAATATAGAAGATGAAAGCAGTAGAAATATTGTTATATAATATTTTATAACAATTTTCTTTGTCATTTCCTTTTTTGCTTTATTCTTATTTTTCAGTTTATTGTAATGGGTTTTACTTTTAATTTAAGGTATCACATTTCAGTTTTCAATATGAAAAAATGTCTTCAGAAAGCATTTTTTTTCTTTAAATAAGTCATGTACGACACAAATTCAATTTTTTCCAAAAACACTTTTGAAATTATAATCAAGCATAAACTATTACCCTAGATCAACAAGTCTTTTTAAATTAATTAGTCTAATACAAATTGCTATCATATATATATATATATATATA